TATATATATATATATATATATATATATATATATATATATATATATAATAATAATAATAATAATAATAATCATTAGTTAATCGTGAGGTGGTGGCCGCCGCCGTGAGCCGCCGTTGACCACCACTACTTGAGGTGGTAGTGGGTGGTGCCCAACTAGTGAAACCCTAATGGGCCTAAGGACTTTGCTTTTGGGCCTAATTGGATTGTAATGGGTTAAAAACCCTAATTAGGGTTTAGAAAACCCTAATTTTGGTATTATTGGTTTGGATTTATCGGGACCCGCATTTTGGACCATCGGAGTGAAGCTATAACTCAAGCCCGGTTTCATTGTATGTTTGAACTTAATGGATTAATTCCTTAATGGGTTAAGTAGGAGCACTTAACCCTAATTGTCATTTCATGTGAAAAACACTAATTGGGTTTGGATGCTTGTTGGGCCATTTATTGGACTAAGCTGCTGTGGGCCTTTGTGGGCCAATTAGGAACAAGTTTTTTGGAAATCAAAACTATCTACAAAAGAGGTACCACACCTTCCTATCCTACGCAGTAGATGAGAAGAGGAAGTGTAAAACACCTAGGATGTCCCAGGAGTCCATAAACTTCCCAAAGTATTCCCAGCATACCTCTCGGGGATACCACTCGTACAACAAGTTAAGTTCAAGAATCGGACTAAAATGCAGTAGCTAGGGAAAAAGTAGTTGTGGTTACCCTCTCACCCCAAACTAATCACATCACTCATGTAGGAACCAAGGACCCATGCTAGTAATCTATCACCACTAGGTGCATACGTAAGAGTGGTATATAATCCTACAGACTTAGGGGTCGTTTGATAGTTGCTGACTGGGTTAGAGCTGACTGGATTAGAAACTGACTGGGTTAGAAGTTCTGACCGAGTTAACTTCTGACTAAATCTTGTTGTTTGATTTTGCATCTGACTGACCGAGCAAAACGACTATATTACCCTTTACAACATTTTTTTTAATAATACATTTGTGCAATAATCTCAAACCACAATATATTATTAATTAACTTCATTTACGCAATACTCTAAAAAACATGAAGATAAAAAGAAAAAAGTCAACATATCTCTTGATTGTCTTCATCTTCTTCTTACCGATTGAAAACTATAAAAAAAGAACTTGTGTTTGTATTCATATGTACTTGGTTTGAACCATTATCGTAGGTGGTTGCTATTTATCAAGATTGTTACAACAATCACATGAATAAAATATGAAATACAATGATCCAGGTTACAATTTATAAAAACAAATCATAAAACTACAAAAGAAGAAACGTGAATTCAGGGAAAGTGGTTGTCACACTTGTAAGCCACCTAATTATGCAATTCAAATAGCAAGTTCTGTGATGTATCCAAATTTCTAACAACATGCACACCAGTAAAATCCTGAAAACACACAAACAATATGACATAAGTTCTTCAATTGATGGTAAACATTGATTAGTAACCCACCTGTTTATTATTGTTCTTCTCTAAAAATTTGTTTAGGATAACAAGATAACAAACCTTTGGTGGCTGTTTAGGATAACAAGATAACAAACCTTATAATAGGGTAAAGAAACAATCCAAATACAAAACCATAATCAAGAAATCAAATACATAAGTGATCTACAGATATAGTATAGGCATCATTAGTATAATTCCAAGTTTAAAGTACCATAATACCAATACATATTTGCAGATTTTGATCTAAAATAATCACAACACATCTCAAGGATCACTTTTGAATTCATTAGTT